TGTAAATACATTGTTTTCACCTCTCATTCGGTATATCGTGTAGAAATCCTGTGAATGATATCTGATTCACTTTTATAACGAATGTATGGAATACAAACTGATTATAGAAACGTGTTTTTTTGTATAATTCAGTGTTCATATAAAAGTATTTGTTCCGAAAGAATTTTCCTTACGTGTATTTCATTGTTTATATGGAAGAAGCTGTTTCAGGAGGGCTTTTTATTCCATTTTGTGTGAAATTTACTTCTTTGCATGATCTACACATCTATATATAGTGTGACCCATTTAAAATGGAACCACCCCTGTAGAATGTGCATTTTGCAATTTTGGTAGAAGCCACAAAAATTTGAATGTTTAGTTTTAAATCAATGTTTATTTTAGTATCAGTTTTTTCTTAATGGCAATTAATTGTTTGTATACATTTTGTTTTCATCAGCTATAGAAGAAGGTAGAGTAAGTTCAGAATCTCATAAAATGTGATTTTCCAGGTGCGCTGTTACAAAAGTACTATTATTTATTATTGGGAAACTTCCAAAAAGCTTACAAGTATGACCATTAATACTTCAAGATTCTATCAAGATTTGGTAAAAGCGCAATTGGGAGATCCCATGACATGAGATTCTGAACTTGGTCTACTACTGCGTAACTTGAAAATGAACTTTTAATTTTCTGTTATTCAATTATTCAATTTTTATTTTAATTTTCACTTCTCGTAACCTACACTCAAATGAATGATTTTAAGGGAATATTATCCACAAATCCAGTGGCGTAGTCAGATTTTTATTACAAAACGCTTGCACCACAAATCTCTCACATTACCATATTTTCAGGAGTTATAACTGTAGAACGCATTGAGCTGTTGACTTCGGATTTTCACTGTACAAATTCACTGGTGTTCTACTTGGTGATGACAGTGTTGTCAGATCTCAAATATGTCTATAATCTGAATAAAAATTACAAACAAATACTTTGTTTCCAAAATTGAAGTTGTTGTAACTTCGTTGTTAACAAATATTTTTTAATGAAAATTTGACAGTTTTGATTTATAACGACTACGAATCCAGTGGTGTAGTCAAATTTGGAAACAAAAATTGCCTAATAAACTTTTGCCGTTTTTGACAAACAAAAAAAACCATAGAGTGCCTTGGAAATGAAACTAAAATTGTGAAAGTTAGTGTCAAGATACAGTTTTTCATGCTTGATATTCCAATAAAAAAAAATTGAGATTGATTGAAAAATGCACATTCTACAGTGGTGGTTCCATTTTAAATGGGTCACACTGTATAAAGTTACTTCTTCTGAAATTGTTTGCTTCCTTCCGTTCTTTGGAAGATTCCTGCATTTTTTGTATCAAGATGGAGTAGAAGAAAGCCAAAAACATTTTTTCCAAAAATCCCATTTGGTATTCTGTGAGCAGTTCTTACTAAATGACAGTAACATTGTGTTATTCTCTTAATAACATTAACATTTTCGTCACTTCAGAAGTTTCAAATACCTCCAAAACGATAAAACAAAATCACTCAACTGAAGTTCTCAATAATTTGTTTATTATTTTTGGACAGTGTGATAAAAATATCAGCAGTGAATTAAGAAGTTATAAGGACGTCCATATAGTATTATTATTGAAAAAAAAAGATCGTATATATTCCGGCTGAGATGATCACTAATATTCATGAATAATTCTCATCAACCTATTTCATCACTTTTGCATCAACTCTAGATGGCACTGTTATCATTAAAGAAAAATATGGAAAAGTGGTAACAGTCTGACAGATTTTTTGAAATAGATTTCTCAAAGGCAGTCTTATGAATAATGAACATGGCTATTCAAATTCAGGTCTAAATTCTCGTGAAATGTGTATGAATTTCAGAGTTATCATAATATGTGATGCACATTCTGTTACAACATTCTTGTTGAATAATTCTGAATATGGTGAATCCAACATAAGAGAACAAGTCGGTCACATACTGCACGGCAGATATAAATGGATAATTTATCGAGTTTTCCTAATTATTTAACAAAATCGAAATGCCAGGAAGTGCAAAAATAGTGTGATCTATGAATTTTATGGCGATGTTGACAACATAGTAACATTCCGTTACATAAACGAGACATGAAAGGTAACTGATTTTGCTCATTTAGGAGTACCATGTACAGTTTGGAATTATTTCGATTGTCTCTTCAGAATTGTTAACTTGATGAATTGAGTTTTTTGAACGAACAACACATCATCTTGAATATGAGAAAAAAAAATGTGTTGGCGAGGAAAAGTACATTCCCAAAATTTTAAATTTCTCTTGTTTCAGAATTGTCACACAAACATTTTTCATTATCTTTCGATTATCACCAAACATATGTACTGAAGAGAGATGGTACGTTTTGGTGACTCGAGATTTTTCGATTTCATTCTGAGGTTTCAATCTATGGGATAGTGACAACTCTGGAGAATCTGAGTTACTCTCTGAAGGCTAGTTTCTTGCATATATCGACCTTCAGAGAACTTGATCGTTATTCAATTTCAAACTAAAAAAAAAAATTATCAAGGTTTTTTTGAGTCATTACTGTGTAGTTATATAGCTGTAACACTGAGAATTTGTTATTTTTTGTTGGAATTATCTTTCAAGTGGACGAGGTAATTGATTGTTATAAGGAATCCTCCCAATATTTTTTGGCAAAAACAGAAACTTTTGAAACCGATGGAATGTGAATTATCGTGAGTAATGAATTAGTTACAGGTTATATGTTTAACTCTTCATGAAAAATTCATGAATACACAATTACTTACAATGTGAAATTAGCAAAGTATAAACAATAATGTTAAAACACTATAACACTTTCCACTTAATTGATAGAAAGGAATAAAAGAGTTGTCAACTAGGAATAAATGGATCCATTCACAAAAGAATGTTTAGAACGGAAACTAATTGTTAATTGATGAATATATTTCTATGTTGACAGAGAATGAGTACGATATAAATTCAATTTTGCCTCTGAACCTGTGAATTGACTATAATTCCATTGGAACCCATATTTAATGGAATATCTNATGGACAGATTTATTTTAAACTCTGTACACTCATCAGGATCGCCAGGATTGAATAATAGTTCAAAACACAAAAACATGCTTTAATAGCAACACAAACTGAAATATAATTCGAAACTAATTCAAGATAGTGTTCAACATCGATAATTAGTCCTATGGCTTGAAGTATCTGATGACTTTCAATAAGTCTGAAATCACATTCACCTCACATCACATCATATTCTAAAAAAAAATTATTTTGTTGTAAAAAAGCGTGGGATAGCTCCTAACCAATTATTTATAAAAACGGATATTTAGCACCACACGCTTTCTCACAGCAAAATATTTTTTTTGTAAATAGATTTATTCTGATTTCAGACTAATTGAAATTAATAAGTTACATCAAGCCATGAGACGATGTTGAACACAATCTTGAATTAATTTGAATTTTTTTATTTTTCAGTTAGTGTTGCTATTACTGCGTATTTTTTCAGTTTACCATTATTTATTTCCCTAGATCCCACTTTCTCAATATAACATGGTTCATGGTTTTCCTTCGACGACACGGCTATTTTACTCAAGCCATTTGAGAATACAGATCATGATAAACGAGATTTCAGAACCATCACTCGAGATTCGAAAAAACTATTACAATCAAGGCACTCTAAAAGTATTTCACATAAATAAGTTTGTTATTGCTTCCATCGTTAGTGCCCGTTTCAATCGATTGATTGAAACAATAAAAAGAGCTGTTACTCTGCCGGCTCTAGGGATTATTTCGATTGTTTGGATCGAAACGACTGATTTTATAAGGATGTGTTAATTCTTCACAAAATGTATTCATAGAATGGCATAGCTATGGGGGATTAAAGGGGTCAGTACCCTGCACACTGAAACATCGATAAAAAATCATTGTACTTGCTTCAGATATCATTCAAAAATCGTAATTCGATTGGTGAACTGCTATAATTTTGTGCTATTTTAACCATATTTATTTTCTGTCAAACATTTTATACTAGGTAACAATGGGATATTTGAAATTGAGAATCCTCGGTTTTTCGTATATCCGATAATCAGTGTAAAGAATTGAGTATTAATGAAAAAATAGTGAATGAAATCATTCATATCTCTAAAAATTTATGGATTTTCAATATTGATATAATTTGTTAGTCAATTCTTTTATTGTTTCTCAAAAAGTACCCAATAGTTTTTTTCACTTCATTCGGAATTTCATTACATATTTTCTGAAAATTGTTCGCATAAAACTTTCACAGTCATGCGTGACAGGCTCTACTATCGAATTTGATACATTGTGTGTATGACCTACCATAAACAATACAATTGGTTGATATTCTTCATAGATTTCATCTGTTGAAAGCGATACAAGGAAAGCGCAAGAGAAGATTTTATCATTCACTCGAGGGGGACAGATAAACAGGATGGATACTTTGCATCCGGTTGTAGCCTCCACCATATATGATCCCTCAATATAGAACCGGGCAAGTAGGGTGGTCCTCAGATTTGTAAAATGAAGCAATACTCAGGAATATTCAAGCGACATTTAAGTTAAAACAAGTACATTCATCAAAACTTGACGTTTTGAGCGTGACGTAGGAAAGTGAAATGTCGCAAAATCCACGCACGCAATATATTTTTGAAAATGACTTGGTTTGCTGTCAATCAATTACCTCATGTATACGGAGGTGTGATGGTACCACCTACTGGCAAAACTTCAGATTCAGGTATACTTCTTTTTANCCATTAATAACGAGTTTACAGTACTCATCTTCCATCTTGGTTTCCAAAGTAATAATTTAAAAGTTTTTTAGGGATTCAAATATAGAAAATTCAAGATTCTCAATTTATTCAGTATCAACTGGGATAAGTGAAACTTCATACATTTTGATTATTGAAAGTATCTGCTCGAAACTTTTATGTTTATCAATGATATTTCTTCTTCACATTTCTTTGTTTCAGATTGTCATCTGCCTCTTAGTTGGAGTTACTCTCGCAGGAGAGAAAGCCACTAAAGCGTCAAAAGAGAAGAAAGTTGACAAACGTGGTCTCTTGGGACTTGGATATGGTAGTGGAGTGATCGTAGATGGAGGTTTAGGCTTAGGAACAGTAGGAATCGCTACGCCAGCTGTTGCAATTGGTGGTGCCGGAATTGGTCTAGGGAGTACCAGCGTTAGTCTTGGGGGTGCTGGTCTTGGAGGAGTAGCTATTGGCGGACCAGCAGTTGAATTGGGAAGACACACACATACCCATACTACTATCACCAGAAACATTGGAATCCCCGTTCCACATCCTGTAGCAGTACCAGTCGACAGACCTGTACCAGTGTCTGTTCCAGTGAGAGGTAATGGATAACATCTCATATAATCGTATAAATAAGTTGTGCACACTATATGACTTTGATAGACACAAAACCGACAAAATTCCAGGAAAAATGGCAACACTGGCATTTTCTTATTACCGTAGGATAAGGAAGGTGATAATAGAGCGTTCAAAAAGCCGAATTATGCCAATATGTATAAGCTGAGACCGCAAATGTTTAATGCTCCCAAAAGTTTACAAATAGGCTCTCCTATAACTATTGCAGGCTGTGATGAATTTCTTGATCTTCGACTTCGGAACACGCTACCTGTAATCAACAAAGAGACTGAGCTTGGTGAGGTATCTCACATAAATTATTTTCAGATATAATTCAATATCCAGTGTAGTATAAGCCGGCAAGGTAGTTGTTTTCCGGTAGGAATTTGCCAGAACCTACGGTATGGTTAATTTGGAGAAATGAATATTTCAATTTCATTTCGAAATATACATTTTCTAGTAGGTAGTATCCCTCCTCGATAAAGTCCTCAGACACCGTTTGATCTCTACTGGAGAAATGATAAAAGTGCTCATGAATACAAAGTTTTGGTTTGGAAAATGAAGCACAAAAAATAATCTGAAGAGAAGTAAAAAAGAAAGAAATACATATATCTTTAACCCACATACAGAAAAACTATTCTCAAATAGAAAATTCTCTTTGCAAAACTGAGATGTAATTTGGATTATTCATATTCCAACTTATCTCTTCCAGCTCATAAGAAATTTTCGATGGAAACCAAAAAGAATAGACCTCAAATAGAACCAAAAACTATGATTGTTGGATTTTGATCTGTTTGCCTGCGTGTTTGTTACTATTTCAAATAATCTCTATCAATTTTCATATTTACCATGAATTCATTTTCCACGAATTTGTTTATCAAAAACTATTCGCTTATATTTTTAGAATTATTTTTTCCACTAATTTCACCTACAATCAATGTTTTCAGCCTTGTTTATTATTTTCGGACTTATTACAAACTATGACTGCTTTATATTACGATTAACAGAAATAGTAGACCTACTAGGATATTTATTTCACGAGATGGATCCATTGTTACCACAGAGGAAGTGTTTGAAATGTATTTATTTCTGTAATTCTGTGCTAATTCCTCCCAGAGATGACTATTTGTGGGTCATTCGAGTACTTTCACTTATCTCCCCTTTCCTCTTTCCGCTTCACCGGTTTCGCGGGAGATGGGCGTATGGCGGGAGTTCGCCATTTTTCGCTTTATTATGTGTTTCCATATTTTGCGTATCTCTAAGCTAGCTTGGACAAATACATTTTTGGACAATTTACGGGGCTATTGCTGTCATGTAGCCAAAGTATGTTTCACTATTGATGTTTTTCCTTGCAATAGTTGTATTATTGGAGGTAAAAGTCTAGACAAGTTTTGAGAAGCCGAATCCTTGGAGCTGATGTGGATTTTGGGTAGTCCATACAAGTGAGTGGGGGATTACTGTGGTGCGGTGTTAGCGATGAGCTCTCCTTTTCCGAAAAATAGACTTGGTGTTAATTTGAAGTCTGGTACAACTGCCTTTCAGAAAAGAAAATACACGAAGATTGTACGGGACCCTACTGCATCAATTGAAAGAAAGTTGTTCTAGACAAAAAAAAACACCAAGTCTGTTTTTGTAAAAGAAGAGATCATCGCTAACATTGCGCCACAGTAATCCCTCTCACTTGTATGAAATACCCAAAATTCACAAGAAGGGTGTTCCACTCATACCGATCATCAGCTCCAGAGATTCGGCTACTCAAAAATTGTCTAGATCTACACTCTCAATAAAACAACCATTATAAAGAAAACAACATCTTTTGTAAAGAATTCAAGGCATTTTGTTCAACTACTAGGGGCAGTCGAAGTCACAGTGCAAGATTAACTGATCAGTTTCTATGTAGAAAGCCTTTACACCAACTTTCTGGTTAGAAAAACACTTCAAAACTTCAAATTGTACAAAGGAAGCTATCCGAAGACGGAGACCTGGAATATAGGAAGAACATACCTATAGAAGTAATTATGGAATTACTAGGATGTTGTGTACGAAACTATCAGAAATTGAGAAACTTGTGCGAGCTAAGGACTAACGAGGTCTCACCTAACATCATAGATTGAATATAGGATACCTAAAACTATTTCTTCTGTAATATTCAAAATTCAACAAAATGATCATACAGTCATTCGACTTTCAGTACCCGTGGCTGTTGACCGCCCTGTTCCTGTTGAGGTTCCAAGGCCATATCCAGTGACCGTTCACAGAACTGTTGCCGTACCAGTAGATAGACCTGTCGGCGTTCCAGTTCCCCACCCAGTTCCAGTAGCTGTCGATAGACCTGTTGGTGAGTATAAACCATGAGTAATTGTTTAAAACATACATATCAGTTGATATCGGAGCCTAAACACACTGTGACAATCTATAAGAACAGAAAACATTCGTTATCCAACACAAGACACAGGTAATCAACCTGCCAAGGCCTCATCAGTATTGTTAGATTGAATCACGAATGTATAGATGGACTCAATTGTCGTTAAAGGACAAGTTTGGGTAAGTAGAAGCGATTCAATTTTTCCTTACAAACACGCCTTCTGGGGGATCGACAGAGAACTCAATCTATGAATATCATTATGAACAAAGTTTCCCAAAGCGGTCCATTATAAAATCGAACTTTGACATCAATAGACGAATGAGATTTGTTTTCCGTCTTTCACCTCTGCTGTCACTGCAAACAGGCCCACCAAGATATCATCAGTGACTGAACCACGAATAATTGGCTGGGCTTAACTATCCTCAAATGACAAGCCTGAGTAAGTAGATTCAGTTACATCTCACGAAAACGCCATCTATCCGATCGACAGAAGACTCAATTCACAAATATCGAAGATGAACAAGGCTCTACAAAGCGGTGTGTAGCAATTCAGAGCTTATAGACACTGAACTATATCCGAATGCTTTTTGTTGATCCAGCAGTAAGACCATGTTGAAATCAATGCTGTAGGGCACTTACAGAAAGTGAAATTATCTAATTCTGATCAGGCTCATCAACAGTAGCTGAGATGTTATCAAACTTGCTTACAACGTGAGAAAATCGGGTGCTGTTTTTCTGAATTTTCAGTAGGATTTTCATGTCACTTTGCATTGAAGCAGAATAATAGATTGTATGACAATAATACACTAGATAATATTAGCGCTTCACAATGCCGTAATACAAATGGTACGTGTTTCTGAAATCTAAGATCAGACTCTAACCTTCGTTCACTATCAAAATTTTATCATCACAAAGTATTGCATTGATACAAACTTTAATTTCAATTTCCCGAAATTTTTGAAGGCGTTTCACGTTACTTCGCATTAAGGCAAACCCAAAGATTGTGTCATAATGAGAAACTAGATAATACTAGTGCTTCAATATGCTTCAGTTGAATTTTGGGTATTTCTAAGTGTCCGTTTCGAAACAGGTACTATTAAGCAAATGATACTGATGTGTTTGAAGAATCTCAGATCAGAATCTAACCTTCATTCACTATCGAAAGTGTATCATCACAAACTCTTGCATTTATGCAAACTTCAATTTCAGCTTTTTGCGTTTCGTACTCATTAGTAATGAATGCGGTACCTATCTATCATTAGTTGATCTGACATTTTTGTAGACGCTTTACGTTACCCTGCACAAAAGCGAACCCATAGATTGTATCACAATAAAAAAGCAAGCAGTGCTTCACAATGCTCTTGTTGAATTCTGGGCATTTTTAAGTTTTCAGATAGAGGTGTCGTTAAACAAATGGTACTGATGTGCTTGTAAAATCTGAGATCAGAATCTCAACTTTGTTCACTATTGAGAGTGAATTATTGGTAAAATATATGATGGAATGGGCTGATACTTCATGAAAATCCATAACGTATTCAAAAAACACTTTGTTGTGAGATTTTCACTAAACAATTTCACAAAAATGCAACACGTGTTTCGCCATACAATGGCTTTTTCGGGCGTGTGTTATCCAGTCAAATGATAGTCATTGTGCAGCTTTTCAATTATTTATAAAATAGGAGTAGTATAAATGTATGAATTTCAGGAAAAACAGGTATTGGCATTCTACTTCTCCATCTTGATACTGAAAAAATGAGAAAATCCTGTTTTTGTTGTGTTCTGTTAACATTGTCACACAATCATACTTGGGATCCAAAATGCAGAAAATGTTGGGTTGTTGACACTTCCAAATATAAAAAATATCGATACATGATGATGTACATTTTATAATAAAGATTTGGAAAGATCAATTCAAGAAACGTTTTTTAGGCGTTCCAGTCCCAGCACCATACCCAGTAGAAGTATCGAGACCCGTTGCAGTACCAGTCGCGCATCCTGTGCCAGTCGCAGTTGCTGGAGCTGTCATTGATGGTCATGGTCATGGTCACGGTCATGGATGGTAATTAACAGGGACTCGTGGAGTCATTTCGAAATTAGACATTATTTTTTGTAAATAAAGCAAATAAAGACGAAACATCCAGACAAACGAAATGAATAGGAGGGTTAATTATTATTTCCTACATATATACTTTCTATTCATTTGAATTTATCAATCAGTACTGCAGCAACTTTGGAGATAACAACTTCAATTGATGTTACAATTTATCATGGAATTTTTTGTATGATGCTTCAGGTATGGTTTCTTGAGTAATTTTGAAAACTAGTACCTATTATGGAGTCCTGTATCATGTGATATGCATTTGGCTTCACAGATAATGGAATAAAATATCATTCAAATTGTAATAATGAATGTGGTGATTTCATATTTTGAAGACAAGAACTTTAGTGTGTTGAAAAATTTTTATCAGTGGGTAGTAATTATGTAAATTTGAGGATCGATACCAGTTGTTGAATAAAATCTCTATAAATCCAGTTCGTGACCTCACAAATGATTGATGGTCGAAACAGTTATACAGTATTATAGAAATATGATAAATTTCATTTCAAAAAATATGTCAGAAAAATAATGAGTATGTATTTCAGAAATAACAAAGTATGTTGAATGTGGAGAAGAATAAGAAGTAAAACTTGGCGCGAAATGAATTCAAAACGAACTCATTTCCAAATCACCAGAAATACAATGCCCGTCTCGAAGCGCGTTTCACCAACCAAGTCGGTGAAAAAGGATTTATAACTATTTCATCGTTTGAACCAAACGAGCAAATTTTCAGAACATTGTTATATGAAACGCTATTGCCAACATGGATCTCCTTGGATTACATTGGACATTGATCTTTGAGTGATTGGGATACAAAATATCAGATTTTCTGTGTTCGGAATATTAAATGAAGGTAATTCAACTAGGAGGTATCGATATCTCAGTAAACTCTTAATTATTTTAGAAAGTTTGTAGGTTCGAATAATTATCACAACATAACAACATAACATTTCTGTTATGGATATGACGGTTTTTCCAATCAAACAATTCGATTTGAATTCTGAATCCAATGAGATTTTTGGATATCTTTGAATAACTCAACTTCAAAGTGGAAATTTTATTGTTACTCAGAACTTTATTTCGATGGGAGTTATTTTTCAAGAAGGGAGTATCAGGGTATAATTCGAATATTACAGAAATGAATCTCCAATGGGAATTCGGACTCCCTATCTTCAAAACTTTCTACCACCTCTCTTTCTTTTTAAGGAAAAAAACACAAGCACTATAGAAAAATCCTCGAGGCGCCCTAAGAGCGGAGCCTGTGCGAAAGTAGTGAATCACATTGGATTTGAATCACTGGAGATTAAATACATTCAGAAGTTTGTTTGACATAAATGCTGCTCCCAAAATGAAACAGTTTTTGAACAATTAAGTTCTTGATGTACTGAGTTGAACCTCAAAACGATGNTTTACCACAAACAAGCAACATCTGATGCTTCTGTGGTTTCTACGATGTTTATTCAACTGTATGTATCACTTTAGTTATTTCTTTCTGTGATTTGAATCTGAATAAACATTATTATTATCATTATGAATACTTGGTTAGGAACTGTTTGCCAGATTGGCGTCCCACGCTTCTTCATAACAAAATAATTATTGAATTATTGAATATAAAACTCCGCGGACAAATATCAAAAAAATTAAAAAGAATATCCATATTTTGTGAAGGCAGATAATTTTGGTGTCAAAGAGTCCTGTTATTCACGTAGAGATCCAGCACTAGGCGTCATCCGGATAATTAGGATATTAGGACATATCATAGATTGCTATGCTATGTCCTAATTCACTGGCAAAACACGTATATAAAAGACAATAAATTGATGATTCTACTTGATGATTGTCCTAGGGCTAGGGGATTCAGTACGTTCATCCGATAAAAACAAATTCAACAAGGAATGGTTATACAAATCAAAACTCAGAACTATCGAATCCGTTGATTTCCATTTTTTTCAGAAATAAAAAATAACATTTTTATGTCAGATATCGTAGAAATGAAATTCACAAATTTTCCTATGAGTCATGTTTGACATTTTGCATAGGTCAAACTGAAGGAACATTTGGAGCACGCACTGAAAACTATTCATTTCCAAAAAAAAGGTTTGCAGCTTAATCCCCTCCAACCTAACATAATTTTCCTAGAATAGTTACTATATGATATTCATTATTCTATTCACATTTCTTCAAACAACCATACCTATTTTAGTTACTGAATTGAATAATGTATGTATTCAATTGATGGATCGGTGAATTATGTAATCAAATTCAACCCACTTCAAATGCTTTCAAAGAATAAATGGAACTGCACAACATAAAAATATTACTCAAATCATTGGTATCAGAGATATTTCTACTACAAAGATAAATCATACTTCAGAATATGAAGCAGTTTACTTCGTCTCCAGGAGACGCCACCTTGGTTGATGAAACGCGCGTCTTCCAGACGTGCCAGTTCTGATTTCTGGGAAGAGAACTTGATTTGAATTTATTCTACGCCAGAGGCAGTTCTACCATTATTCACACTAAACTTCGAGTTCAATCTCATGATAAAATATTTCACAGCGATCTGTGGTATAATCATCATTCTCACTGAATATTACTGGAGTTTTGACCAACACCAAACCGTTATTTCAACACCAAGTGATCATCTTCAAGAGGAAGTTTGATCTTGATGATCACTTGGTCTCAGATCAAGAGGAAGATCAAACTTCCTTGATCTTCTTCTTGAAGATGATCACTTGGTGATAGAAACACGTGTCAAAGAGTTGAAATAACGGTTTGATGTTGGAAGAAAACTCCAGTGATATTCATTACAACACCAAAGATTCCAGATAGTTCATCACAAGTATCATTTTCATTATCAAAATACCTACATTTTATTGAGTTATTATTCCTATCGGTTTTCAATTATTCGGAAAACTTGTTTCCTACGAAGATAACGGTGTGAGTTATTTATAATATTTTGTTCACATGCATTTTCGCGATATAACGAACCTCTAATGAAGTAAATAATGGTGTTTGATTCCAGTGCCGATAAGAAACCCCCTTCCAATTACTCTAACGATCCTGATAAAATTGCTTCACTTGGATATAATATTTCCACAATTAGAGCAGGTTTTCATTACTGCAACAAAATGAAACAAATTGTTTTTGGTGTTTTCATATTCCTCTCGGTTTTCGTATATGTTTATACAATAAAAGTATGTGAAACTTTCATCGAATACGATGAGCCCAATAACAAACATTGTTATGATGATCCTGATTCGGAGTTGAATGTAGTGAGTATTCATCCCAATGAAATTCAATGTTTCCGTTCCAGGTTTTGAAATGAATTACATTTTCAGTTCATTTATGTTTCCCTACCAATAGTCTTTTGAAAGTTGAAAGAAAACTGGTTCGAAATGTGAAATTATTTGAGATAATAATTGAAAAAATACAGGGTGCGGCACCCCATACGACACTGTCCCTCTAAACCGAACCATCACTTTTTTCGAAATTTCTCCATTTCATTATTTGTATAAGGCTGCAGAAGGAAATTATTTTGGAGTCTACAGAGTGGCTCAAAAAAGAGTGGAATATCCTGTATTTCTTCACACACGTCAGGAAAAAATGAAATGATTTCATATGACTATGTAACTGTTCTCGAGTAACTGATTTTTCATGAAAATGTTAGGTACAATTGAAAACTAAATAACATTGAAATGTATAGAAATAATTCCTTCAGAATTGTGACCAAGTATGAAGGAGTTTTGTGCCAATCATTCCGATGAAATCCGTTTCTTAATATCATACAGAATGTTCAGAAATCATTGTCACCTTTTTAGAATTGCGGAAAGTGATATTTTCATTTTTTCATTTTTCCGATTAATTTGGCCGTTATCTGATGGGGATCCATAATAATTCCATTAACTACCCTCACGACTTGATTTTCACAAACTTTATTTTCAAAATTACAGGGTGTAACTAAATAAGTGTGAAACATTCGAGGAGGTGATTCCTCATCGAAAAAAAGATAGGATATTTCATATAAAGGAATTTCATTGGAGCATACCTTGTTAAGATACAGCCCCTTGAAGGGGGTACATAAAATTTGTATAACAATTTTTTTCACAAGCACTAAAAAAGTTACTATATTGAAATTAACCTGACGTTTTGTACTACCAAAAAGATACTCAGCCAGAAATTTATTTTGTTTAGCCCATGGTTGTAAGAGGTGGAAAACGCAACCCCTAAAATGTATTTCCAATGTAACTTTTTGTCTTATCATTTCCGATAGCCTGTTTTATTCTAAACAAAAAATGTCTCCTGGGTTTTTTACACAAAATAAACCAGTTCGCAGCAAAAAATTATTTCACGAACAACTACAGAGATACATCGTCATAAATGCGAAAATACGAAACTAATCTATCTAGTAGGTCGCTATTAGCGATAGTGACAATTAAATTGGTATGACGCTGTCAGTTTGTGAATTTGCAAAATTGAATTAGAATAGTGGCCATCATCAACTTAAAGCCACTATCTTGCACTGATGAGTGAAAATTTGTATAACAATTTTTTTCACAAGCACTAAAAAAGTTACAATATTGAAATTAACCTGACGTTTTGTACTACCAAAAAGACACTTAGCCAGAAATTTAATTGGTTTACCCTATAGTTGTAAGGGGTGGAAAACGCAACCCCTAAAATTTATTTCCAATGTCTCTTTTTGTCTGATTATTTGTTTACCATTCAAGAATTTATTTCTGAACAAAAAATGTTTTCAGGGTTTTTTGCCCAAAATAAACCAGTTTGCAGCAAAAAATTATTTTACGAACAACTACAGAGATACATCGTCATAAATGCGCTAATAGCGATAGTAACAATTGAATTGGTATGACGCTGTCAATTTTTGAATTTTCGAAATTGAATTAATACTGATTGTATGTTGTCGTTCTATTCTCAATTTGTTACTTTAATATTTCACTTTTTATTGAAATGGCATACACAAATGAGGAAATGGTTGATATGCATTACGTTTACGGTTTGTCGCAGGGGAATGGGTTAGAATAAGCTTCTAGAAGATATGCTGAAATGTATCCTCAACGGCAGCATCCTTCACATAAAATATTTGCTGGACTTCATCAACGATTACAAGAATATGGTTCATTCGACAAAAGAACGCAGGATTGTGGTCGCCATCGAGAAGTACGAACACCACAGCTTGAGAAAGCAGTACTCAATTTGATAGAAGAACAACCTACTACCGGTACTAGAAAGACTGCTTTCCAGCTAAATGTTAATCATATGACGGTATTTCGAATTTTGAAGGAACAACTCTCATCTTACCATCTTACCATCTGCAACGAGTACAGGCACTGACGAATGTAGTTTTTGTCGGGACTAGAAGCCCACATATGGGCTGATGAAAACCCTCACGCTATTGTCGAAACTAACCATCAAGAACAGTTTTCTCTTAACGTGTGGCTCGGACTCATTGGGGATGATTTAATTGGGCCTCATTTCCTACCTCCTCGATTAAATGGTGAGGCATACGTTCAATTTTTAGGAGAAGTGCATCCAGTACTGCTGGAGGAAGTTCATTTGGGCATCAGAAGGGACATGTTTTTATGCATGATGAGGCTCTCGCCTATTTCAGTCAAGTAGCACGTCAGCATTCAACTGAAACATATGGTAATCAGTGGATAGGTCGAGGAGAACCACAGAACTGGCCCGCTCGATCCCCGGATCTCAATCCTCTCGATTTTTCTATTTGGGGTCATTTACAGCATTTGGTTTATCGTACTCCTGTTCGCGATGTAGAGGACTCGAAAAAACCGCATCATCGATGCGTACAGGGTAATCAGAGAGACTCCAGAAATATTTGAGCCAATACGAGGCTCAATGCGCCGACGTCTAGACGCATGCGTAATATCTGAAGATAGACATATTGAACAGTTACTATGATTTCTACATGTTGTGTGTTTCGTTATTAATGAATTAGTTTTGTTTATTACCCTTTAATCGTTTAATGCAGGTACTAACTACAACATAACAATGAATTCAGTTCGCATTTTTGACGATGTATCTCTGTAGTTGTTCGTAAAATAATTTTTTGCTGCAAACTGGTTCATTTTGGGCAAAAATCCCAAGAGACATTTTTTGTTCAGAGTGAAACAGGCTATCGGAAATAAATTTTTAAATGTTGAACAAATGATAAAACAAAAAGTTACTTCGAAAATAAATTTTAGGGGATGCGTTTTCCACCCCTCACAATCATGGGGTGAACCAAATAAATCACTGGATGAGTGTATTTTTGGTAGTACAAAATTTCAGGTCAATTTCAATATTGTAACTTTCTCAGTGCTTGTGAAAAGAATTGTTATACAAATTTTTTCTACTCACTTCAAGGAGCTGTATCTTAACAAGGGATTCACCAATGAAGTTTTTTTATATAAAAGATCCTATCTTTTTTTCGATGAGGAATCACTTTGTTGAATGTTTTACACTTATTCAGTTACACCCTGTATATCACCTATATTAGGACATGTTTCGCTATCACACTAGTTTTTCGCAATGAACGACATACCAATAATTTTTGCTCTGAACTATATTATATCCAATTATCTTCCATTTCATTGGGAGGTTCTCTATACCAAACCTGAATAATTTTTCAGAACTTGGCTTTTTCAAATAGTATATTAGTTCTTATTACCTAGCAGTTTTATTAAAAATCAATTACTCGAGAACGATTGAAATAAAATAATTCCTTCCTGGCCTATTCGAGTGTGGAACGGAATACAGGGTGTTCCATTCGGAAACACACAATTGCGATATGTCACAATTTATTGAGCCACCACGAGACTCCCAAATAATATCTTTTAGCAGACTTCATCAATAAATTTATGATGAAATCAAGAACTTTTCGAAAAAATCAATGATTTGTTTTACAGGGACTATGTCGTATGGGGTGCACCATCCTGAATATTCTGCACATTCTTGACAATTACACTTGGTAGAGAGTGAGCCAACAAAAACTAATTTTTTTCTTTACACTTCTTGAATAAGTGTTTATGATATGCCCTTCAATTTCATGTTACCAGAGCACATGAAAGTTGAAGAATGATGCAATACCATGTCATTCCTATCCATCATACATCTCATAAGTGGTTATCTGGTGGAACAACAATCCATCGTTTAAACTGTTTTGATCAATAATAGTTATGAGTATTAAGTGAGCATGAAAATAACCGCCACACAACCAAATGTCTATAGAGTTTATAGAAATTTCAAATCCCGTCCATCATAAGTGAATAATTTCGATGTAGTTGATGCTGTTAGGCAGTGGAATGATACATCTTTTTCATATTGCTATTCCATTGGCGTACATAAAAGTGGAAAATTTGGCATCTATTTCAAACACATTTACACATTTACACATGATACATTTCTCGGAATCCAACACCCAAAATTGGTTTCATTTACGAAATTTGATTGGAATCTTCAATAATTTATATGGAAAGCCCTTTTTAAAGTATCATTCACTTGCGCAGTTCAGCTGATCCTGTAGAAGTTATCATTTTTTTTCAAAAATTGAAGATATTGAAAAAATTAATTCTTATCATAATAGGCTTTGACTTTGATGTTTCTAAATTTGAGTTTTCATTTGTTACACTCAATGACATTTTGTTATTGTTCAAGTCATTGAATTTTTGGCGAAAAATGGCTTTCACGAATGAAGAAAAAATAGATATGTTACAAATTCATTACAAATACGATAGAAACAGTGTTAGCACATCGAAAATGTATTTAAACTTGTATCCCAAAAGACGACAACCATATCGAAATATGTTCAAGTTATTGAATCAAAATCTCACCAAGTTTGGTTCATTTGAAAAGCCGAGAAAAAATACGGAGCCAAAATGGTCCAGGAAACTAAAGAAAATTTGATAAATTGGGTATGTTTGAAGTAAGTTAGACATTGTGTCCTTTTCAATGAAAATTAGTAATTTGAAGATAAACATGAACACGGGAAAATCTACACGTCAAATTTCCTCCGAAATGAATATTTGTCATACAAATGCTTGGAAACATCTCAAAAAAGGGGTTCAAAATGTTACAAAATACACATATCTCAAAAATTGCATATAGGTGATTCCAAAAGGCCATTTAAATTTTGTAATTGGCTAATAAGAGGACCAGATATTTCTGTTTTCCTGGAAAATGTAATTTGAACAGATGAAAACAATTTTACGAATTGTGGGATATTCAACCGACATAACGAACACATTTGGAGCATAAACAACCCCAGGTAGTTCCAAGAAATTCGACCTCAAGTGCGAGTTTGTACTAACGTGTGGGCAGGAATTCTTTTGGGTCCTCATTTATTTGACGGAATTCTGAATGGAGAAACCTAACACTATTTTTTGATGTCGATTTTCGATCTACCTTTGGCTAACTATAACAACATTCGATTTCAACATGATGGTGCTGCACTGCACACTACCAGACGAGTATCTGATTACCTGACTGTGAGTATTGGTAATAAATGAATAGGGGATAATGGGCCGGTGAAGTGGCCAGCAAGGTCTCCAGACTTGAGTGTTATGGATACATTCTTATGGGGTACACAGACAAATAGAATTTATGGTCAGAGAGAATATCAAAATATAGAGGACCTCAACACAGAATTGCTAGAGAGTTCGGAGAGGAGGAGGAAAATTAATCGTGCAGTGAATAATATTCGAAGAAGGGCACAGTTGTGTTATCATGAAGAAGGTCAGCATTTTGAGCATTTGCTATGATTTACTTTTGTCTTCACATTTTAGTTAATTTTGTTATTTGTTCAAAGTTCTATTTTCATTGAAAAGGACACAATGTCTTATTTATCTCATACACACCTCATTTATCAAATTTTTATTATTGATTCTGTCTCCGTATTTTTTCATTGGCTTTTCAAAGGAACCAAACTCGGTGAGATTTTGATCCAATAACTTGAACTTAGCTCGATGTGGTTGTTGTCTTTCGGGATACAAGTTTAAATACAATTCTAATGTCCTAATACTATTCCTATCGCATTTGTAATAAATTTGTATCATATCTCTTTTTTCTTAATTCGTGAAAGCCAGTTTTCGCCAGAAATTTAATGACTTGTTCAATAACAAAATGTCATTGAGTGTAACAAATTGGAATTGAACAATTGAAATTTGGAAATATCGAAGTTAAAGTCTATTATGATTAATTTTTTTCAGTATCTCCAATTTTCCCAAAAAAAAAGAAAATTTATGATACATCATTGAGAAGGTAAAATCTGGTTCTATTCAAAACAGAAGGAATCCATTCTACTGTCCATGAGAAAAAATAAAGTTGATGATGGTGGCTGGAACACGAAACGTCGCATAGCAAATCTGGAAACACCATTATGTTTCAGGGAAAAAGTGGCAAAGTGTGATTGCAATTTATTTTCGAATCCTTTGAAAAATAAAGCAAGACAAATATAAAAACCATTTTTCAAAAATTTCTGTTTTTTCCGAATATCTCCGGATATACTTCGAATTTCAGAACTTTCTCAACGGAATATCATTAGTCAGGAAGATGCGCAACTTTGCCCCTAATTCAACCATCTTCGTATCTCTCATAGTTTCCGAGATCTTAATGGTGAGGATCGAATTTGAATCACCCATACCTTTACGGCAAAACAAAAACTTTGCAAATTCACGTCGAGCATTTCCAGAAGGCTGGTTTACTGGATTTACTTGCATTCTGGAGAGAGAAAGCGGCTGATTATTAGCCGTATTGGAAGTGTTGATGAAACGAAATATTATTATTCTGCGTCTGCCCTCTTATCATTGCGAACTTAATCCCATTAGAACTGTTTTCATAAACTACGCCTCACGATTTGATCTCCACAAATTTTATTTGAAGAAATATATCACGACATGTTCCACATGCTCCACAGTAGCTTTTAGTGAATTAAGTACCCAATTCACTACGAATACGAAGATTGTGTAAATAAAATCGTAAGGTGTAGTTTATGAAATTACTATGAATCTTTATCATAACAGCTGAATCAATAAAAAATCCATAGAAATGGTTTGGTCACAAGTAAAGGGTTTCAACACGACATGACACCAAAAATAAAAATGTCAGAAAATGTACCAGATATATTTAAAAAAATGAGGACATGTGAATATTAGACCATTTAGTTAAGGAAATTTGATAGAGAAACATCAGATTCATCTGATTGTAACACACCGTATTTTTTGCTTACAACTGATATATTATCATTAAGGCTTAGTTATTCTTATTATGAAAATATTGGTTATATATGATTAAATGAATATACTCGTAGTTGTACATGAAGTTAGTGTGCATACCTGGAGACTGGCCATAAATCAAATTATCTACAAAAACAATTCGTTCAAACCAGTATCAACTCACCTTCGCTGTAGGTTAATGGACTGACACCTATCAGAAAACAACTACTTCCCTCATAAGAAAAGATACTCTGAAAAAAATCGATTTTCAATTATTGGAAATCCTCGACTTTATGTCGATGATTGTCACAATCTTTCATTGACGAGTGGCCAAACAGCCCAAAACCGGTCTGCAAATGTGTTCCAATAATTGAAAATCGATTCCGGCAGTTGTATCGCCAAGAGCATATGCAGGAACAATACCATTGAGTCGATGCTGCTATCACCACGTCTCTGACAAACACAAAATGTCTATATTTTTTGTTACTGCAATGAATTTCAGTTCATCAATTTTATTAGCTAGTGACCTTACATTATTATGCAAAATATTAATATTTTTGATTTTTTGGAAGGTAAGGAAAATAACAAATTAAAATTCGTCTCCATTATATTGTCTTTTTGAGGTCCGATAGACACTATCTTGCACTGAAAAGTGGCCAAACAGCCGAAATCGGTCTGCAAGTGTGTTACATCAATTCCTCCAATAGCATAATATGCAGAAATAACTCCAGTGGATAACCTAGCACTGACTCCTGTCGGATATAATCCAACGCCCTTCGTGATATTAGCCAGAGAAGTGTTTTCTGATAGTTGTCAGTCCATCAATCTAGAGTGTAGGTAAATTGAGACTGGCCTGAACGAATTGTTCTTGTAGATAATTCGATACTCGTAGTTATTGGTTTTACGAACCGAACGCTCATTAAATCTTTTGTTTGTGATCTACTTGCCATACAAAAATAGGGTGTACTCCGAAAATATTATAAACTAACCGTTACAGGCTGGAGCAAATAACGAAATTTTGTTTGAGCATTTTTTAATCTTTCTGTATTCAAAATGCGTTAATTACTTTTAATAACTAGGAATTCAATTATGAATTGAAAATGGTGATTCCTGAGTTGAATAAAAACGACTATTTGTTTGTCATCATCGTGATATTAGCCAGAGAAGTGTTTTCTGATAGTTGTCAGTCCATCAATCTAGAGTGTAGGTAAATTGAGACTGGCCTGAACGAATTGTTCTTGCAGATAATTCGATACCCGTAGTTATTGGTTTTACGAACCGAACGCTCATTAAATCTTTTGTTTGTGATCTACTTGCCATACAAAAATAGGGTATAAACCGAACTATAACAGCTGTGACAGATCATAACGAAATAACGAAATTTTGTTTGAGCATTTTTTAATCTTTCTGTATTCAAAATGCGTTAATTACTTTTAATAACTAGGAATTCAATTATGAATTGAAAATGGTGATTCCTGAGTTGAATAAAAACGACTATTTGTTTGTCATCTTCCCCGTACGTATTTTATCATTGTACATTCACCGTACTATATTCTCACCACTGTATTCACATATATATCTTAAGTTAATGCTTTCGAATTTTTTATTTTCAGACTCAGATCGCCAAGAGGAGAAACTACAATGTTGAAGAACATTTCGTTACTACAACAGATGGATACATATTGTTTCTAGCTAGGATCTATAAGAATCAAAATAAGAACTCTCCGATTATTCTTGGACACACGATGCTTCAGCCTTGTGTCAGTTGGGTGAATAGACCAGAGAAGTCTCTAGGTTAGCTTAAATCAATGTATATTATATATTTCTACAACAGCGAAATCAGACAGTTGTTTATTGTCAAAATGTTCGGACAGATCGAAATGAATATGTTTTTATATCGACTGCAAATACTTCATTTTCGATTTGAGATCCCATGCAGCATGTTTCTATAAGTATCCATTCTAAAATTGATAGGTAGGTGTGGGACAGTCGTCGCGATGACGAGAAGTATAAGATGTCGAATCGTTAATAACTATCTGGAATAATTTCAAAATACAGATAGTGCAGACCTGTTTATGGCATCAAAGTCGTCTGAGTGAATGCATGTTATTTTGGATTAGTTTGCTAAACCATTGCCTGTTATTTTGATGCAACCGGTCAGTTCGTTGAAATATTTTGTTATGCATAACAATAAAACCCATCAAGTAATGTCTTATCCTTCTTCTGGAGAATAACATGCATTTTACTTGACCTAGAAGTCTGTAGTGTTTTGCAGAAAAAACTCCATAAGCAAGCTCAGCTCACCTCTACATCAAAGCAACTGAAGGCAGCGATTTGATGTTTATTCCATGAGCTAATATAGATGAAATAGAATCCGGACATTTAAAATGTTCATGGTCTCAATCAATGAAAAAGTCATCATCGATGAAAATAGGGCTTTTCTAATAGCTACAATTACGAATTCTGTTCGGGGAATTTGCTGCCACAGGTGTTGTGCCTTTTAATTTTACCAAATTTGATGACTTTGAATTCAATGCTGCTATTATTATAGATTAACAATATTCAGGAATTGAAAGTGTCTCCTTTCTTTCAATCAGTATTACAGCTAGCACTTCTCAACATTAACCTACACCGATGCCCTGATTATAACGAGGCCACTTCTAGAAGCCAGTACATCTGCAATGTATAATACCCCTCTGCCATCACCAGCCTCAGTACTCGTTTCTTTAATAGAGTCTGGTCACAACTTCCAAATGATTAGTTGTGAGTGAATCAACCAAGGAGACTATGATAAAGTTATGGTTATTCAGGATATAGTTTCTGATACCATATAATTTTGACGAGTCTTTTGAGTCCCTTTTATGAATGATAGATCATTTCTGATAGCGTCTGTTTAATATTTTCACGTCAAGCTTGCTCACAGATAACGACGCATTAACTAAGTTCAACTGAGACGATTACTCTTGTACTATATTATTGAATCGAGTCCTCTCATGGTCTCCCATATTCTGAAATATTGTCACGAATGTTTTCACTTATTCTTTTAGTGAATTTATAATTTTCTAGATTGAGTTTCACGCTTTCTCAATTTTTCGTCTACCAATAAATCACTCAAGTATAACTGTAGCAATATTCATAAATAACCTCATTCACAAACTTTTGTGGAGTGATATAGGCACGTTATCCTGCATTTACCCTTACAAATATAATGTCAAGTTTCGATAATAACCTTGTTTTTCAGCATTTTTTCTTGCTGACCAAGGATTTGAAGTATGGATCCCGAGCTTTCGAGCTAGTCAATACAGTTTGCGCCATGAAACGTTAACTATCAATGATGACGATTTCTGGAAATTCAGGTGGGTTATTATTAAATTCGAAGTGTTTGAGGGTCCAATTTTGCGGTTCGGAAGATTGAACGACGAGTACACAACATGTTACAACTTTTACATCCAACTTACAACTTTAGTATTGGCGTTGGTGTAGTTTCGAACGTTCTTTTATTGGTAACACTATTTTATAGATAAAGCTCAAGTCCGTAAATTATGAGTAGCTACAAATCTCGTTAGAAAAAACTAGAGATTCGTTAAGTTTGACGATAGTCTTGTCACGAAGTGTTTTGGCGATGCATTGAATCTATTGGAGCCTCTGGAGACACCCTACATTTTGTTTTATAAGAGAGAGGACATTGGTAGATCAAGATCTTCAGATGATGTGGTGCTGCAGGTTTCTCCGGGTTTTCCTGCAGCTGAAAAAGCAAATGTGCCACTGGAATCAATGAAGTCGCCCCGGAGCGCCAATTAATTTTTATTGTTGTTTTTATTTTTATCGTTGTTTTAATAACATTTTAAACCTGATTAATAAAAAAAATTGATAATGAAATCTAATGAACGAAATATCGCATTGCACATTTATATCAGACTACAACAAATATGAAACAGTATATATAGTTCCTATATCATTTTCTATATCATTAGAAATGGAGGCGAAAGAGCCAAAGAACGGAATCCGACTACCCTAGATTCTGGTGAATATTTCAAAAACAACCACTGATATTCTCAATCGGAAATGAGATTATTCCAGTTCCAAATAGAAAACTTTCGTTCAATTCCACCGACATTGTAGGTCCTATTGTCTCCGTGATAGCAATAGTGGGATGAGCTGGAAAAACGGCCTGTATATTGCTCATACTCATTCAAATTTTCACGTCGCTTTTGCGTTTAGAAAATTAGAGAACGCTATCTACATCGAACAATACGTTGTTTCTAATTAGGTTGAACTCAATACTTTTATCGGTTTAAACCAACCTTTTATTATTTGTTTACATATTTTTTTGTCAGCTGTTGTTTTCACTTAGCGTATGAGTTGTTTTTGATGTAATGAAAAACGAAATAAATTCGTTCAGAAATATTTTATAATATGAGTATTTTTCTGATTCATACCATTTGATTCATGTTAATTTTTGATTACTCGTATCTCAATGAAAATGTGTTTATAAATAAAACGTATTTGTAATTGAGGATGTGGAATGACCCGTTAATTGATGAAAATCAATAACACAATCCATGGTAATCAAACACTTTCCACAAACCTACCGACTTAAAATGAAATATGTTTTTGAAAAATTAATTTTTCATCATGGATATATATGTTAGGTTAGGTCCGAAGTGAGTGGGTTTATTCGACCTTCCACCGCAATCCGCAAGGGTTTATTTTGGCTCACACCTATTCACACTCGACCAAATAAACTCAGCTTCTTAACGAACCTGAATAATTTGTATGGTGAGTGGTCTTTCAGGTCAGACACTTCAATAGTATGGCTCCGCCGAACTCTAAAAACCTGATTCAGTCCCCAGCGGGGCAGGTACAAAGTATGTGCTCTGCTGAGGCGACACACACTGTCTTCCGACAGTTCGAGTCTCTGCATATGATGATTCAAGTGACAGTGACTTGTAAGAAGGCCTGTTAGACATCGTAGTTCATCCCTACTGTAGCCCAACAACTATTTGGTATCAAGATTTTGAACAAATTAAAATTCAATTCTGTCACATTATATGGAAGTTTGTTAAATAATTTAATGTCCAAGGAATTTCGTAATGACATTTCAAGTCTAAATCTTGGCTGTCTGAGTTGTTCCGCATTTCTAGTTTCTTAATTATCATGATCTGCGTGTTTGGAGAGTAGTATTTTGTTTTAATGTATTTCTAACAGTGAGTCGAAAATCAACATACAGGGCAAAGATATTATTCTCAATTTTCTAAAAAGTGATTGGCAGTGTGCGTCGAATAGAGCTCCAGCTATAATTCTCATGGCATTTTTCTGCATACGAAAAGCTCTGATCGCGTAACTAGATCTACTTTAACTGGCGATGTAGAAACATCTGTATCGAGAGTATTTTACAGAGATGGTCAATATGTGATTCCCATCGAAGCTCGTCTCATCTATACTTTACTCATCTATAATTATACTCAGAAGATATAATTATTTTCTGAGTTTTTTCCCTATTAAGTTCCAGTTTGTTGGATATAAACCAGTATTCTGCTTTGTCTTCGGTATCTTTGCCATTTACAAGTAAATTTGAGATATCAGAATTTGATTGAAACATTGTGGTGTCGTCGGTAAAGCAGATAACTGTACTGGGTAAAAGGTACTAGAATAAATCATTCATATAGATTACAAAAAGGGATGGACCCAAGATGGATCCTTGAGGTATTCCATTATTCATATACCTTTCATCTGATAAATATGTATACTGCCTGCTTTGTGAATGAGAGATAAGACTGGAAACATTTTGAAGCTGATCTTCTGATATCATAAAAGTCAAGTTTCTTTATTAGTAAATGATGGTTTACACAGTAAAAAGCTTTGAAGTGAGCCAATCCTGGAAGATTCTGCCAGAAGGCCTTGAATCTTCTTGCCATCCAGGTGTTTAATCTTTGTTTGGCAAAGCCTGAAGCAATGCCAATGACTTGTTCTCCTTCCAGCATTCTCCTTTGCAAGGGAGTCACCAGTCTCATTGTTTTCCAGCATAGTATAGCCAGGAATCCAGACCAGAGACAATCTATTAAGTCTTCCTATCGGGAAGAGTCTTTTTTGGCAATTTGCTACCAATTTAGACGTTTTTCGATAAGAGCCAAGAGCTTCCAACGCCGCTTGACTGTCCAAAATATTTGTATTGACTTGTGTATGGGGTTGGATCCTACCAATCCCTTCGCACATAATTCAATTCATAAATATAGTCGCATAGGTTACTATGCAGGTTAATATCTCTGTCCTGGGTCTGCGACTGAAAAAACCTGCACCACAACCGGAAGGTGTTTTTGATCCTTCTGTGAATTAACAACTATCTGCTCTTAGTATTTCCATTTCCTGGAGAGTCAAGTCATCTCTACTCGAAAATAGTACTCCATAAGGCAGTTCGTAGTTGACAGTTGGAGGCATAAAGTCAGAGGTCATTTCCAGAATGCTGTGACTTCCAGTGTTAACCAAAAATCTGTTGCACTCTGCATTAAATTGATTTGTGCATTTGGCAATGTGCACAAGTCTAAATGCAGTCCATCTAGCCTCTCTCTTCAGAAAATAAATCCACTTGATTACAGTAGACATTCGGGTGGTGAATTGAAAAACTTTTGTCTGCAAAATAGGTTTTTCTAAGATGATTTGGCAATGCCGCAACGGAAATTCAGAAACAAAAATTCCTCAGGGAGCTGAAAAAATATGGAATCGAATGACGTATTCATGTACAGGGTATTCCTTTTGAAAAACTATAACTTAGGTTGGCCACGCTCGGCTGAAATACCCAGGATGCGAGAAAATAATTTTGAAAGATAGTATTTTTCGATATGACTGAAAAAAATTGAGCAATTCGAAATGACAGCAATGGACTGAGGCAGTCTCGTTGACACACCCTGCATATAACCTCAATACGAACACGAAAGGGTATATCTTTCGAATTCTTTTCAAAATCCCCTTTTATTCTGATGTTTCATTTGAATGAAAAAGGAACATTTTTAGGAGCGATTAATTTTCACTTCACTTCATATAAAAATATGAAACTCATGAGAAGTAGAGGAAAAAATCAAGTACAAAATGAACGTCAATTCCTTTCAGACATAAACTGAAAAAACTCGTTCGAAACAGTTATAATTACATGAACACCAAAAAATAAAGTATTTTTGAAACAATTACTTTGATATAAATAATGAATTTTACGACGCGCTCGAGTATGTCCATGCAACAGTATTTTTTTACATATTTGAAAATCTATAGCCGCTTCCCCCACCGATGAAAAGGTATATATTATATAACATTTTTTTCTTCTTATCATCCAAGCTTCGCAACCTAATATGTCTCAATGACGCTCGAGTAAATCCCCATTTTGCATCGTGGGCTGCATTGCTATCATAAGCATACTACACATCGTATTATATAGAGTAGTATTGTGATATGAAATTTCATTGTTATCTTTGATGGTATATACTTTTGGAAGTTTTGATATCTATCATCAACCCTTCATCAGCACCTTTTTTGACTTTCCAAGTCTAGAGACAATTCAGCCACATTGACAATTCGTAGAAACATCTCAAACCAAAAGGTTTTTGTTATTTCTCAAAAACCAATCTCTCCTAAAAATATTCCCCTTTCAATTTCAAGGAAATTTGTCTGGCTGAGAATGAATCAATTACCCGTATGGAACAAGCTGTCGTCGTGACAAAGGCAAAATGGCCTCTTTCGGGGCTATTAGTTCGTAATCTTTCGCAAGATAGGTTTGTTTTCGTTTTCAAAAGTTTACAAAAATGCTAGTGAGGGGTTAAAGCATACAATAAATTTGAAAGTAACAGAGATATTCGGAAATGTGAGAATAGCAACAACTTGCCTGCCTGAAAATGGCAAAGACTATTTTCACGTTTCCACTAATTCAGATGCAGATATTATATGGTCAGTCATGATTTCCACTCATTTTCTTTTTTCAGTTTTTACGAATTGGGTGTCTATGACCTTTCTGCTATATCCAAATTCGTGAAGAAAACAACTGGACGAAAAGCTCTTTATGTAGGTTACTCTACTGGTAGTACAGCAAGCTATGTGTATGCCTCTCATTCTCCAAGAGAAGCCAAGGAAAATCTACAAGGAATCATATCTTTCTCACCAGCTGCTTATGTGAAAGATATGAAATCTCTCTTCAGATATTTATTGCCATTAGTTCCACTTATTAGGGTAAATAATTCATCGAATAGAATTTTGAAAAAATATCAATTTTTTTTCGTCTTTGAATATTTTGAGTCATGCTGGAGCGAAAATGAAAGTTGTCCCGTTGTAAAATGAAGTTGATTTTTTCATTTTTGCATGGAATGAAATAATCAAACCCACTGGGATTAGAATCTAGTCAGATTATTATCCAGAAAATTTGGTCAGTGATAGAGTGTGTCTGCATCCTTTAGAATGCAGACATG